TCTTCAGCTCAAGGCTAGCGCTCTACCACTTGAGCCACAGCGCCACTTCCAGCTTTTTTTCTTTTTGCTTATGTGGTGCTGAGGAATCGAACCCAGGACCTCATGCATGCAAGGCAAGCGCTCTACCACTGAGCCACCTTCCCAGCCCTGGACTTATTTTTCTAAAAAAGGAAGAAAATGAAAAAACTTACATAGAAGGTCAGGTAGGTGATACATTATCTTTCATCTTTTCTTCAGGCCTTTCCCCAAAGGTATCTATCCTTCTCCCCATTCACTATGTAGTCGCAGGCTGGCCTCAAACTTGCATTAGCCTCTAAGTGCTGGGATTTCAGGCCTGTACCATCATTCCCAGCCTCAAATTTCCTTTAAAACTCTTTAAGGATGCCCATGGAAAACATTGCCAGTATAAACTCCACATGGGGGAATAGACTTCTATTTGTAAGCATTGTTTCCAGCGGGGCCACCTGCCTAGCGCGTGTAAGGCTCTAAGTCCAAAGACTAGTTACCAATTGGTGATGGTATTCGTGGGCGAAGGTAGTCTGCTGAAGCTGCTCGAGTTTGAAACATCTGTGACATGGGAGGAGAGGGTGCTCTTTGGCCCAGTAAAGAGGTGTTAGGTTCCAAGCTCCCCATAAGGCCACTCAGAAGATTGGAAGAAGCAGGTCTCTGAACTGGTTGACCCAGAAGTTCCTAAAGGCAGAAAAAGCCAAATCTCAGTGAACAAATCAAGTTGTTCCTTCTAGTCATAATCTTTTTTTTTTTTTTTGGTCCAGTTATGGGGCCTGAACTCTGGGCCTGGGCACTGTCCCTCAGCTCTTCAGCTCAAGGCTAGCATGCTACCACTTTAGCCATAGCAGCACTTCTGGCTTTTTTTTTCCTGCTTATATGGTGCTGAGGAATCGAACCCAAGGCCTCATGCAAGGCAAGTGCTCTACCACTGAGTCACCTTCCCTGCCCTCTAGTCATAATCTTTGGATAACAGATTTAACTTTTGGAAGCCAAATGATGAATCCCCTTGTAGTTCACTGAGGGACAGGACCTATGTATATACAATAGACTGCTTTGAATATTCAGCTAGCCACATCTGCTTTAAGTACAAATACAGGCTAGGTACTTAAAAATTCCACTGAGAATGCGAATCAGAAGTCAAAGATTTTTTTTTTTTGGCTGTGAATCTGGCTTAATGGTAGAGTGCTTGCCTGGCATGCATTAAGCCCTGGGTTCCATTCCTCAGTACTATATAAACAGAAAAAAAAGGAAGTGGCACTGTGGCTTAAGGGGCAGAATACTAGCCTTGACCAAAAGAAGCTCACAGGCAGTGCCCAGGCCCTGAGTTCAGGCCCTAGAACTGGCCAAAAAAAAAAAAAGGCCTTAAAAAAAATTCCTGGGGGGGGAAAGGAGTGGTGGTGGGGGGGAGGCTGGGAAGGGTAAACAAAGGAGGAGGCTACAATGCTTGATAAGAAATGTACTCATTATCTTGCCTATGTAATTGTAACCCCTCTTTACAGTATGTTCACAATAAAAAATAAAATTCCTGGGGCTGGGAAGGTGGCTCAGTGGTAAGAGTGCTTGCCTTGCATGCATGAGGCCCTGGGTTCGTTCCTTAGCACCATATAAATAGAAAAAGCTGGAAGTGGTGCTGTGGCTCAAATGGTAGAGCGCTAGCCTTGAGCTGAAGAGCTGAGGGACAGCGCCCAGGCCCAGAGTTCAGGCCCCACGACCAGCAAAAAAAGAAAAATTCCTTACCACAGTGGTAAATTTATTAAAATCAAGGAAACTATATGGATATATTTTGATCACCCAAAGTACATAGTTTATATAAGAGATTTTTTAAAACTGTATTATTATTTTTTTCTTTTCTTTATTGGTACTGGGAATTGAACCCAGGAAGTTGCACTTGTAGGCAAGAACATTTTTGCTGGTCCTGGGCCTTAAACTCAGGAACTGGGCTTTGTCCTGAGCATCTCTATGCTCAAGGCTAGAGCTCAACCACTTGAGCCACAACACCATTTCTGGCTTTTTCTGTTTATGTGGTACTGAGGAATCAAACTCAGGGCTTCATATGCTAGGCAAGCATTCTACCCTAAACCACATTCCCAGACTCTCTACTATTATTACTATTATTATTATTGCCAGTCCTGAGGCTTGAACTCAGGGCCTAGGCACTGTCCCTCAGCTCTTCAGTTCAAGGCTAGCACTCTACCACTTGAGCCACAGTACCACTTCCAGCTTTTTCTACTTATGTAGTGCTAAGGAATGGAACCCAGGGCCTCATGCATGCGAGGCAAGCACTCTACCACTGAGCCACCTTCCCAACCCTCCCTATTATTTTTTTAACTGAAGAAAAAACCTCATTTCCATTTCCTAGAGTTCATTTCGATAAATACTATTTTATATAGCCAGATGCACATAGGTAGTATGCTTTTATGTTCCTCTCCTAAGAATATCCTCCTTTGGGTAGTCATCTTTTAAAGCCAACCAGCTCCCCTAGTTCCCTTATTGAGATTAGGGGCAATACAGAACTATGTATATAGCAGCACTATGTATAGGCAGGCAACATAGCTCATTTGCTAAGGCCCAAGTCTGTACTACTACATAAAAGCAGTTAAGAAAACTGATGAGAGCCGGGCGCCGGTGGCTCACGCCTGTAATCCTAACTACTCAGGAGGCTGAGATCTGAGGATCGTGGTTCAAAGCCAGCCCGGGAAGAAAAGTCTGTGAGACTGTTATCTCCAATAAACTACTAGAAAACTGTTAGTGGCGCTGTGGCTCAAGCAGTGGAGCGCTCGCCTTGAGCTGAACAGCATAGGGACAGCCCCAAACCCAGAGTTCAAGCCCCACGACCAACTAAAAAACAAAAAAAAAACAAGAAAACTGATGAACCCTCTTGTATAACTAATGTATGCCAATAAAGAGAAAGGAAGATTATCTTACCTGCAGGATGTTCTTCGAGACAGGTTGGCCTGGAATTTCAGTAGGGGATATCAAATGGCTTTCAAGATTTCGCTATGAAACAAAACAAAACAAAACAAAAAACTGGTTTTAACTCTTAACACTTCAACATACAGACTGAGGGTAAGAAAATATCAAACCCTCCCAAGACAATTGGTGCTTAACTCAGACCAACCTGTTACTGTCTCTCATCACACAGGTCCCAGAAATCTGGGAAAGGCTTGTCCACATGTACATTCAGAATCCTCACTGAAACTGCCCCAGTGCTAACTCTAGTTCATTTCATTGCAACACCATGACCAAAATATGGACACAGAATATGGTGAAACTGAGGAGCCCTTATTTAGTAAGAAACCACCAGTAAGACCATTTAGTAATTTATAGATCTCAATTTTTGATGCAACTCTGGCTGTTATCTCTAACAAAGAGTTATCTCTAACAAGAATTACTAGCCAAAGATAATATTTTAAAAAGCAAAGGGAAGCCGGGCGCTGGTGGCTCACGCCTGTAATCCTAGCTACTTGGGAGGCTGAGATCTGAGGATCGCGGTTCAAAGCCAGCCCGTGCAGGAGAGACCGTGAGACTCCTATCTCCAATAAACCACCAGAAAACCGGAAGTGGCGCTGTAGCTCAAGTGGTAGAGTGCTTGCCTTGCATGCCTGACGCCCTGGGTTCGATTCCTCAGCACCACATAAGCAAAAAGAAATAAAGCCGGAAGTGGCGCTGTGGCTCAAATGGTAGAGATTTAGCCTTGAGCTGAAGAGCTGAGGGACAGCGCCCAGGCCCAGAGTTCAAGCCCACAACCAACCAAAAAAAAAAAAAGGGGGGGGGGGAAATACAGCTCAGAATGTTTGCCTTAGCACGACACAAAAATCAGAAACATGCCAGGTGTTGGTGGCTCATGCCTGTAATCCTAGCTACTCAGAGAGCTGAGATCTGAGGATTGCAGTTTAAGACTCTTTCTCCACTTAACCACCAGAAAACCAGCAGTAGTGCTGTTCCTCAAAGTGGTCAAGAACTAGCCTTGAGTGGAAAAAGCTCAGGGATAGCACCTAGGCCCTGAGTTCAAGCCTCACAACCAACCAAAAAAAAAAAAAAGGGGGGGGGGAAATACAGCTCAGAATGTTTGCCTTAGCACGACACAAAAATCAGAAACATGCCAGGTGTTGGTGGCTCATGCCTGTAATCCTAGCTACTCAGAGAGCTGAGATCTGAGGATTGCAGTTTAAGACTCTTTCTCCACTTAACCACCAGAAAACCAGCAGTAGTGCTGTTCCTCAAAGTGGTCAAGAACTAGCCTTGAGTGGAAAAAGCTCAGGGATAGCACCTAGGCCCTGAGTTCAAGCCTCACAACCAACCAAAAAAAAAAAACCACCAAAATCAGTAACAGACTAAGGAGGCTGGAGGAATGGTTCAAGTGGTAGAATGCCAGCCTTAAGTGAAAAAGCAGCACACATGCCCCGAGTTCAAATTCCACTACTGGCACACACACACACAAAAATTATATATATTGCTATTCACAGTATAGATACCTGCAGCTTCTAGACAAGGAAGTATTAGGAGGCAAAACCCAACTGGTAAATAGCAACTAAGTAAATGACTTAACTAGATGAGTGTGTTTTCCCTATTCCTATCTGCCCTTGCTTTTGCACCACTTTTTGTTTTTTCTTTTTTTTGTTGGTCATGGAGCTTGGGCGCTATCCGTCAACTCTTCAGCTCAAGGCAAGCGCTCTACCACTTGAGCCACAGTGCCACTTCGGTTTTCTAGTGGTTTACTGGAGATAAGTCTCACGGACTTTCCTTCCCCAGGTGGCTTTGAACTGTGATCCTCAGATCTCAGCCTCCTCAGTAGCTAGGATTACAGGCGAGAGCCACCAGTGCCTGGCTTTTGCATCACTTCGTATCAAGGGCACAAGGGCAGCCATGTTAACACAGAAGCCATGGTTGAAAACTGCTTTGCTAAACAGTTTTATGACATACAGTAAGCATATGCAGTCACCCTGTAACCTACCTTTAGGCCTAAAAGTTAAAATATGTAACTCCTCTAGTAAATGAATACAATGCAACTGCCTTGCAAAAAAGTCCATCTTTGATTATCTAGTAATTTAGATGATGATTATCAACCGTCTAGTCAAGAAAGTAGGCTGGTCACATGCCAGTGGCTCATGCTTCTAATCTTACCTATTCAGGAGGCTGAGAATTGCCATTCAAGGGCAGCTTGCAAAGACAAATCCAAGATTTTTGTCTCTAATTAACCAGCAAAAAGCTGGAAGTGGGGCTGGGAAGGTGGCTCAGTGGTAGAGCGCTTGCCTTGCATGCATGAGGCCGTGGGTTCCATTCCTCAGCACTACATAAGCATAAAGAAAAAAGCCGGAAGTGGCGCTGTGGCTCAAGTGGTAGAGCGCTAGCCTTGAGCTGAAGAGCTGAGGGACAGCGCCCAGGCCCAGAGTTCAGGCCCCACGACCGGACCCAAAAAGAATCCATTTACCGTGTGGTAGGTAAGGAAGTGAATGGGAAAAATGGGTGGGCGCCCAATACTTACACTAGCCTTGGGCTGGGAAGGCAAGGTCCCACTGGCCTTCATGGTGCTCACAAGCCTGTTGAATGCAGTCATGTCTCCATCTGTCTTCAGTGGTCGGCTGCTCGGCACAGCACTCAAGGTCTCTTCTAAATGCTCTGCCATGAAGGGTGCTGAGCTGTTCACATGCTGCTCCACCTTCAGGCCCTTGAGTCCTGCTTCCACTTCTTCTACTGACAGCACAACTCCTGAGTGTGCTGCAAAGTTGACAAAGTCCTGGTTATACCCCACAGAGATTTGGCAGCAAAAATGACCATATGTCTTTACCTGATAAAGACAATTCATTTTATAATTGAAATAAGGCTTTTACAAATGGCTGACACTGGAAACACTTAACATGATAGTTGCTTCAGTAGGAAAGCTGTAATTTTGTATGTACAGAGAGATGCTATAAACTAGACCTATTTTTGTGGGGGGGGTACTGGGGTTTACACTTGGCCTTTTGCTTGCTACACAGGTACTTTATTGCTAAGCTACGTCTCCAACCCCTTTTAGAATAGGGTACCAATTTTTGCCTGAGTTGGCCTACACTGTCATCCTCCTTACCTCTATTCTCAGAGTAGTTCAGATTATAGGCAAGAGCAGTTAGCGTCTAACAGGTAACCAAAACTATGAGGTATTAGGCTTTAAAAGTTGACAAGATGGGGTGGCTCACACCCTTAATCCTAGCTACTCAGGAGGCTGAGATATGAGGATCAAGGTCCACAGCCAGCCCACACAGGAAAGTCTGTGAGACTCTTATCTCCAATTAACCACCAGAAAACGTGGCTCAAGTGTAGCATGCTCACCTTGAGCTGAAGAGCTCAGGGTCAGTGCCCAGGCCCAGAGTTCAAGCCCCATGACTGACCGGAAAAAAAAAAAATGTTGACAAGATCATGCTATGTATCTTGCAAAAATGTCTTATGAGTCCTCTAAAGAACTGTTAAGACACAGGAATCCAAAAAGCCAACATCAACAAGACCTACATATTGTGATTGTTAGAGCACTGAGTTGTTATTTTGATGGTTTAATAGCTAAACAGGAGCATGGGTAGGCTAACCAGTGGCTTACCAGAAGAGTGCCTGCCTAGCAAGTGTGGGGCCCTCGGTTCAAAAAGAACATGGCACGTTGGGGCCAAGTTGTGAGGAATTTGCAAGTTATACATAGGAAGGCGAAAGCACTGACTGTGGTATCACAATTAGGCCAAAGGCAGTATGATGAGGAAAAAGTTCTATTCATGGGACACTACCCATTGGCTACCAGTTTCTCAAAAAGAGGCAGTGAAAAAATTAGTCTTTGAAGAACATGACACAACCCCTACCATTGACTGGACATAGAACCAAGTACCTTAAGACTATCTAAATCTCTTCAGATATCCAAAGCATTCTTAACACACTTACAGCTCTCTCTAAGTTTTTCTTTATTTGCAGAAAGGCTGGAAAGAAGAGGTTTTAAATCCACTTTAGCTTTCTGTAGCATTTCCAAAATGTCCACTTTATTTTCAGCATGGTCTTCCAATGGTATAGGAGCAAAGTAATTCCCCGAGTTCTGTCCAGGAGAGAGGATGGCTTGCTCCAGTCCTGACATCGTAAACACAATATGCACAATGGATCCCAATTAATGCAAAAACTCATCTTTTATAATTCTGAGAGGACACAAACCGAAGGTTTCTCTATCTAAATGTACTCATGCTTATGGATACAAGACTAACAAAGGCAGAGAAAGCTCAATTCTCCATTCAAAGGAAGAGTTGGAAGCCATTTTACCTGCAAGTCTTTCCAGTTCTTCATGTGGTGTTGACCCGAGGCTGCTAGATCTGCTTCCAGACTGGCTTGGGTTAGAGAACCATCTACTGAATCGACTGGCAGAGACGGATCCTTCTCCCAAAACATCTTCTATCATCTAAAGAGAAAGACAGGAGCTAAGATGAAAGGTTCTATGCAAAACAGGATAAAGTTCAAATTTTAAGAGTGTTATTTTGAAGTGCTTTACTACCAGGCTCATAAGCAACAAGACATGAACTATGAGAAAGTGATCAAAGAAAACCCTAGGTTTATACTTGCTGCTCTCAAAACAAGTAACATAGGGAATTCATCCTGACTTTAGTAGCCAAGGCTTAAAAAAAAAAAAAAGCAGGGCTGGGAAGGTGACTCAGTGGTAGAGTGATTGCCTTGCATACCTGAGGCCCTGGGTTCCATTCCTCAGCACCACATAAGA